AACAAGTTTTACTTGATTAAAGTGCAAAAGAACTATAAAGACCAATAGGTATCACTTTACAATAAGACCTCATTTGTTAACCTTAGTTAATGCATTAACATTCACAATGAGCAATAGCTACATTTGCTACAGAAGTTATTAATCTTTGTTTAAAAAATACAAGTCTTAGTTCATGATAGCTCATTAAATAACACAATTGCAACTTTCGATTTTAACAACCTGTTATTAAATATTGGAATTACCTGAGATTAATGAATGTTCAGAAGAATTTTTCATCGGCAGTTTATGTTAACTAATGAATTAACTAATGTTAACTAAATATTCATATATAAATAATATATCTTCCTGTGCAAGGTTGTCTCAACAAATAGTGATTTATGCAGTTATTTACAATTTATGTAATAGCATATCTTGTAATTAACTTAAATGTATTGTAACATTTGTTAAATTTGTTAATCAATTTGTAGCCCAAAATATAATACAGGCAGAAGTTTGCAGGCCTACAAACGGAGAAACTAACGTTGACTGTGCGTGTGAGAGTACACCGTTATTTCATTAGTCATAGCTGTGTGCTGAGGAAGTGAGCTCAAGATAAATCGTAACTTGGTATTGTACAGTCAAAGGATAGGGCACCAATTGAAAGAGGATAGACCCAACTGCCAGCAGCAGACTCATGATTGCTTTGTTTTGCTGCTCCAGACAGGCTGAGCAATATAGAAGTTTAAAAGGAAAAGCTTTATTAGTTCTCTTTCCATCACTTCTCCTCTTACACCCTCTTTCCTTTACACTTTTCATCTTTATCCCTCTCTCTCCCAAACTTGTCATTCTCTCTTTTTCTCTCCAGCCATATGAGGGATTGAAACTGCAAGACCTGCGTCGGTTGAAAGACATGTTGATAGTGGAGACGGCGGATATGCTGCAGGCTCCTCTCTTCACGGCTGAGGCCCTGTTGCGAGCTCACGGTATGAATTTACTGCAGCAAACAATTCCACTTAGCCAATGATATTACTAGGTTTATACGTATGCTACATTTTTTTTTTGTACAAAAATTGGCATCACAAGTGAATCCCGAGGTAGTTGGGAAAAATCTTTTAGATTTTGTAAACAAATAAAAAGCCTCTGTATGTATAAGTATCATCTGAACCCTCTACCATAGTTTTGCTGCAGTACGTATTTGTAAAACATTAGCGATGAAAAGGTAATATATTGCAGAGGGCTGTCATTGTGCCAGCTGATCCATTTGATCAATTAAAGAAATATGCCATATTTGGCCAATATCCAGGACCCTTCATTCTTCAAGATATTACAAGCAAAGGGGTTTGGCTCGTTTTCATTATTGGGCAAACCAGAACATTCCATGCTTAATCTTTACTGAAGTATTTGGCACCAATTTCACATTTAACATTCAGAGATGGAAGGTGGATTCAGTATTTTTTGAAAAGTAAAATGGCAAAATGTGTAATTCTCTTGGAATATTATATAGATGGCAACTGTTGCATGTCCTAAACCAGCACTATGCGACCAGGTTCCAGCTCCAAGCAACTTGTCTGTACACACTTTTTTTGGTAATGTTGAGAAACACTGCGTTAGAGGAACATATTAATGTCGGTACGTTTAAACCTTCTTTTTGCTGAACAGACTGGGACAGGGAAAAACTTCTAGAAGACTGGATGTCTAATGCGGAGGACTGCTGCCAGCGCTCAGGTGTTCAGATGCCAACTCCCCCACCGAGTGGCTACAATGCTTGGGACACTCTGCCTTCTCCTAGAACCCCGAGAACGACTCGCTCCTCTGTCACCTCCCCTGATGAGATCAGCCTGTCTCCTACTGATGGCCTTGCCCTGGTTAGATTAATCGCCATGCATGACGTTATGATCCACATTCTTTATCATTCAATGCACAAAAACTGAAAAGAATATTGACACAGTCTGTTCAATGTTTCTTATGCCCACGTAGTGTGGGATTTGCATGGGAAACATATCTGTGTTTGAGGACCCTGTGGATATGTCGTGTGGGCACGAGTTCTGCAGGGCATGCTGGGAAGGGTAAGGAATGAATTATGAAGTCTTGTTTAATGCTCAAGACCAGATCATATCAGATATTTTCTTAATAATACATCCATTACAGGTAACTACTTACACTACCAAGTTTGGTGTCAGTAAGATTTTTTTTTTTAAATACATACATTATTAATTTGACAAGAATGCATTAAATGGATCAATAGTGACAGTAAAGAAATTTGTAACATTACAAAAGATTTCAAATAGAAATAAACATGGATGTTTTCAACTTTTTTTATTCACCAAAAAATCCTGAACAAAATATATTTCGGTTTCCACAAAAATTTTTGTAGCACAACTGTTTTCAGAAAAGTTTCTTGAGTGCAAAATCCGCATATCAGAATGATTTCTGGAGGACCATGTGACACTGAAGAGTGAAGTAATGATGCTGAAAATTCAACGTTGCTATCACCGGAATAAATTACATTTAAAATATTAAAATAGCATCTAGAAAAGTTGTTTTCAATTATTACAATATTTAACAAATACAGTTTTTTTTTTTTTTTTATCAAATGAATGTGGCCTTGGTAAGCATAAGAGATTTCAAAAACATTCTAAAATATTTCAGACTCCAAACTGTTAAACGGTAGTGAATGTGCTGGAATAGTTTATAAATGGAATGGCTATAAACATCAAATATATTGTTTATATACTTATAATCATTGACTATTTCAGCAGGGCTCTACGCTTACTTTTCTTTTTAGGAGCACTTTCAAAATTTTAGGAGCACCTTCTAAACAATTATCCAAAATGTTATCAAAAAGTAGCCTTCCCATGTCGCACTGGTGCTCCTAAAAAGTTTTTTATAGTCGCACGCAGTAGTTTTCAGTCGCAAATGCGCCTGAAATGGTCGCACTGTAGAGCCCTGTTCAGATATGTATTTTACCATTTCCTGTTTGTTTATGGTATTTGCAATGCTTCATGTGATGAGTAGTTCTTTCCCTCAAAGAAAACCCTTTTTGTTTTGCTTCAAAGATGTTGGTTTTTGACATTTTTAAAATCCTGTGAATAAAATGAATAGGAAAATTCACCTCAGCTAAAAAAAAAATTTATATTGCAGGTTGTTTATGATCCATGTATTCACAGTCTCTGAACACTGTTTGTCTGGATGTCAGGTTTTTGAATCTGAAGATCCAAGAAGGGGAAGCACATAACATCTTTTGCCCTGCTTACGACTGCTTCCAGCTGGTCCCTGTGGAGGTCATTGAAAGTGTCGTCTCCAGAGAGATGGATAAGCGCTACCTGCAGTTTGACATTAAGGTACAATTGCAGCTCACAAAGCACCAGAAACCATTTCAAAGCTGCCATTTTATTTTTCTTATCATAGACTGTCTTGACATTGGCTTTGAATCAAAATGCTGACAGCATCCGGCTGTTGGTTGAGTTTATGCCAGTGTTTGTTTGAGCAAAAAAAAAAGCTTTTGTAAACACAGATGCTCAGAAGTCAAACATTCGATTGTTGGGTAAATATCACCTCGTTTTGATCTGGATGATTTTCAGATTACAATTTTGGATATTGGGTCATTTACGTCATCCAAAACAAGTTTAAACACATTTATTTTCCATCACCAGGCTTTTGTGGATAATAATCCTGCCATTCGCTGGTGCCCCATAGCCAGATGTGAAAGAGCCGTACGACTGACTAGGCCAGGCCCTGGAGCCTCTGACCCTCGGAGCTTCCCCTTGCTCAAAGCCCCTGCTGTAGACTGTGGCAAAGGCCATCTCTTCTGCTGGTACGTTAACCAGCTGTTTCCTTTATTTACACTCTCAGAAAAAAAGGTGCAAAGCTGTGTCTGGGGTGGTACCGTAAGGTACGAAAGCTAAAAAGTACATCTAAAAACCTCTAAACTATACATATTAGTACTCAAAAAATAAAAACAAATTTGCTTATAAAAATATATTTTTAAAGATCATTGTGAGTTTTTTTTTATGTTTTGACAGTATTTAATTATCAGTTGAGCACATTTCTTCTTTTTCCCTTGCATTACTATAATATGTCTTTGCATTTTTTAGAGTTTTGAAATTCCTATTATTCTTTGTGGTGATTTGATTCTCATTACTGTAATACAGTAATTTATTTCTGCAAAATGCAGTAAAACACTTAAAAACAAAATAATTAAAGATATATATATATATATATATATGTGTAACAAAATACTAATAGAATAGACTATTAAACGACTTTCATTTTCACTTCTCATTATGGTTGCAGTCCGTGGATTACGCCCACCGACCCAACATAAAAACAGCTTTGTTTCCCGCTTTGGCATCTTTCGTGCTTTAGGATGTTATTCTAGCAGTTGCACTGGTTGGACG